CTGGGCTCTCCTAAAGTATCCCATATTTCTTTCTGAGGGGAGGCTGGCTTTGTGATCTGGACTTTCTCCAAATTTAGCCTCAGGTCTTCAGTAACCTGTGTCAATTCTTGCTTTTGGTTCTCCTGGCCTTCAGTAGCCTGGATCTCTTTCGAAGCAGCCAGAGGTACTGCTTCGATCGAAGCCTCTAGTTGCTTGTGGACATCCTCAGTGACCCCCTTGTTGACTTCGACTAACACCCAATTTTCATTCTCAGTGCCTTTCTCTCCTAATGGAGTGTCATCTTGATCTGCTTCCACCATATTGATTTCTCCAATGCATACAGGCTCGGAGTAGTTGGTGTCTGCGACATCCAAAGGATCTTCATCTACTTTCATTTTTGGTTTGTCAGTGAATTTCAGTCTGCCATCCTTAATTGCATTTTGAATTAGATCCCTGAAAAGAAAACACTGTGAGGTTTTGTGGCCTAGGAAACTATGATACTTACAAAATCCTCTTTTCTTCCTTTGATCTAAAGGAGGTATTTTGACGTTCGATGGCACAATGAGTTGGCCATCTTTGACAAGCAAATCAAAAATCTCGTCATACTTTGTTATGTCAAAAGTGTAAACCTTCTTTGGGAATTTGTCACTTTTCTCATTTTTTCAACAATTTCTTTCCCTTTTGTGGGAACTAATAATTTACAAGAGTAAGGTGGAACCTGTTTCAATTCAGCGAGATCAATTTCGACCTCTTCAAATTCAGGGTAATCTTCTGCTTCCTCAGCTCCAACATAGGAGACCTTTTCTTTCTTATTATTTTTAAAAACTCGGGCCTTTTCAGCCTTTAGCTTTTTGACTTGTCGAACCCTATCGGCTAATTGAGCCATGTCCCTCAAGTATTGTGTATCTAATTTCTTTCTAATAGAGTAATCCAGGCCGCCAGCAGCCATTTCGACTAACTCATGTTCAGGAACTACTGTGAAACATCTAGATTTCAAGAGTCTGAACCTATTCAGATAGTCATCTATGGGTTCAGTAAATTTCCTCTTAACACTGGCTAGTTCCTTCAGACTTATTTTAGATTGTCCCATGTAGAACTGTTCATGGAATAATCTCTCCAACAGAGCCCAAGTATCTGTGGACCCAGGAGGCAAAGTGGTGAACCATGTGAAAGCGTTCTTAGTTAGGGAACTTGGGAAATATTTGATCCTAAGGTCTTCATTATTTGCTATATCTCCTGCTTCGGTTAGATACCTAGCTATGTGTTTGACTGTTGATTCATTGGTATCTCCAGCAAACTTTGTAAACTTAGGGACTTTATATCCCCTTGGTAAATCAGTATGCATTATGTAATCTAATATAGGAGAGGCATAATTTGGCCTTCTAATTCCTGTATTGAGGCCATTTTGGGCCATGATTCTCTCTATCATGGTGGTTAAATTATTTTCTGCCAAGATGTTATCGTTTCGAATTCTATGAACGACTGCATCAGCATCTTGATTTCGACCCACCATGACAACTCCTCTAGGTTGTTCTTCTCGAAACTCTGGGACTTCTAACCTTTCGATCCTTGTCCCTGGTTCTATAATTTCCCTTTGTGGGCCTTGAATCATTGGGGCTTCTAACCTTTGTGCCCTTGCCCCCAAATTAACCCCCTCTCTGGCTGGTCTATAGGGTGGGTCATCAGCAACTTGTTCTATGATAGGTACGTTTGCTCGAACTCCCACCTGATTCTGCCTACGCCTTTCTGGGGGAGCGAAAAAATCTGCTATTCGACTCATGTTATCCACGTTTTCTCTGTTTGTCACAGTTACATTTTGTACTATTGGGGCAAAGATCTCTTGCATAGTTTGCGCTAACACTCCTATCATATTATGGTTACTGTCATCCATTAATTGCCTAAAGGCCAACTGATTTTCTGTGGTTAAGATAGGCATTGCACTATAACCCACTAACCATTGGTTATTTGTCATAAATTGATTAGTCCCAGATCCAGACCCTAATTATGGTGACGTATTCGATGTCGAAGTGTGCAGACCTGCCATAAAAGATGTTGGCATCCCATAAGAGGAATTTCTGTGTCTGTTACCATCGAAACTGGGTGGACTAGTTAGTGGGGTGGCAAAATGGGTTTGTGTCCCTGATGGTGGGACAAATCCCCCAGGATAACCAATGGTTCTTGTATTTCCTAGGATCGAACTGTTAGTCGACATGCCACTTGTTCCATTCGTGGCTACACTACTGGTAGAAGATGCAACAGACTGTGCGTTCGAAGTGATCGCATTAGATGTTCCCGTCGAAGCAGACATATTAGTGTCTGTTGCATGTGGGATATTTTGTTCCCCTTGTTGATTGTTTGGATTAGACATCTTGCTATTACGTTTTCTTCTGGGTAAGGGTTGATTGCTATTGGTCATTCTACCACTTCTAAGGTTCATATAACAACGAACTTATCACTCAGAAAGTACTTTTACAATGGTTATGTCCCAACAATCTTTACTTTGTTCTAAATTTCGTAACGACCAATGACGGTCCCACTGGGCGTGCCAATTTGTTTACAGTGATTTCTGGTAAACAACCGCTAGTCCTCCAGACTATCAAATAATCTTAATGACTGTTATTTAATCTCTCTGGTAACTTGCAGGATCGACTAGATTGATCATATGGGGTATTGGTCATTTGGATAACTCTAATTGTAAAACTGATATTCATAGTTAGGATTTGTATTTGGAATGTTTTATAGACGTTCAACTCACTTCAATTACCATATTAAAAGGATCTAATGACATGATCAAGTAAAGACATGCGAAACTAAATTGCATGAATAAAGATTCGATTGCAAAGAAATATAAAAATGCCAGAAACAAGTAAATAACTTTGAAGTATAAAAGCATGAAATGTAAAAGAGTTTCTGAAATGTAAAGGATTCGAAATAGAAGAAAAGCGTTTAAATGCAAGAAATCAGTAAATGACTTTGAATGTAAAGGTATTTGAATGACAAAAACATGAAGATAAAAGCATGAAATGTAAAAGAGTTTCTGAAATGTAAAGGATTCGAAATAGAAGAAAAGCGTTTAAATGCAAGAAATCAGTAAATGACTTTGAATGTAAAGGCTTTAATGTAAAGGCTTTTGAATGATATTGACATGAAGATAGAAGATAAACTGGAAAAAATAAAGAGTTTTACTGAATTATAAATATTTGGTGTTATCATACGTACATTGTTCGAGCATTCGTTTCCCTAGCCATGTGGTATTTTGAATGTTTACTAAATTTTGTACAATAGATATGACACACGAAATCCTAACGCTAAGACTTCTATTTATACTACTTTGACCATAATGGTCTTGCCTATAAGATTCTACCACGTTCAGAACATGCAGAGCACTGCTCCTTTCTAGCTTCCACGCGTCTTCGAACGCTCCAGCGTATATATATTTGAATTTTGAACATCCCGCTTGCGTTTGAATTTCAAATGTTTTGGCACTCTTCATTTCGAACTCATTTCTTGGACACAGTCTTGTTACCACTTCGAGGCTTCTTTTAAATGTATCTTCACAACTGTCACTCGAAGCTCCGAGCTTTGACATGTTCATTCGAAGAACTGCTTCTACCATTCCGAACCGTAACATCTTGCTTTATTTCAACGAAACATCCAACTTGCTTCGTTTCGAACTGTATCATCAAAATCTTCAGCCAACACATGGCCGAAAGGATCTTGGCACAAAATGGAGTGAATATTGTCTTTCACAGGGAAAACTTTACATCTCCGTTATTAGATTATATCTTGCAATCAGAATTATATCAGATTAAATATGGTCGAGGGACTTATATTTCTCAGACTAATTAAACTTCGCCTAAAAGACTTATAATCTCATAAACTAGACTACATATCATTCTCTCTCGAGGGACTTAGAGTTCCCTCGGACAGACCAAACAATATGACTTCTCTTAAATAAACCTCAACAGACCTATCACATCACATTGAGAAAGTCAGGGCATAGGGTTCTCCCCTATACATCGGTCTAAAAATACTCTGTCTTATATCAAGGGCCCCGTACTTAAGGAACTATGTAGTGTTATACTTGTAAAGGATCTGTCTAGGAAAATAGCTGCCTCCAAAAAAAGGAGACGATCATGTCACCCTTAGGGAGGTAATTCCTTGCCCCTAGATACTTCCTTATCTCCTAGTCATTGAAAACATAGGATACAATATTCCTTGGACATAGAGAAATCAGGGTAAACAACTGACCCACATCCCTTTAAAAATAGGGATTCAATGGTTCACCAATGACTAAGTGGATGGTGACCTTTCCCAAGAAAACCATAGGTCCAAAGTCTCTATAAATACCTCTCCCTCAAACGGGAGATGAGACAAATCTTAACTCATACATATCACACCTTACACATGTATTTACCTAAGCACCCCACTCATTTACAAAATCTCTCATATAATGTGAACATGTCCTCTAAATCACAATAAAACACCACAATATATGGATTTTCTCCACCGTAGCCAAACTCTAAGCCTCTAACTATCATACAACATAATATACCTACTAAAGTTTTCGAGTGACCTTACTCTTGCAGGGGTAACAAACATCTATGTTTTCTGACCATTATATATTTTGTAAAAATCTGGTATACTAACCTAAATATCTAAGAAAAACATAATATTTAAAAAAAAAAAGATTTGTTTTAAAATATTTTGATAAAATTGTACGCAAAGCAAGGGTGCCAAATATAAGAAGAACGGTGTCAGATAAAATTCTCACGAAATCTCTACACTAGATGCGAGGCAGACTAGCCCAGCCCATTAATTTTCATGCGCAAACAGACACCGGCCCGGTCCGAGCGAACCAATACGGTCTATTTGAATCGGTCATAGAATTCTCCATCCTTGTTTACATTTGAAACGCAGAAGGATCAGAGAGAACAAGAGCGCGTGGTAACAAACAAACCCTAGAACCCAAATCAGATTGCGTACAACATTCAAATCAAATCAAACCACCGTATCTCACCATGGAATCCGCCGCTAGAAGAAGAGGAGGAGGCGTTTTCGAAGGCCTTTACAAGGTCCTCATGCGCCGCAACTCTGTCTACGTTACCTTCGTCATCGCCGGCGCTTTCCTCGGAGAACGGGTTCGTTAATTTTCCCTTTTCATTACCATCTGATTATTCAATTTTTCGTTTGTTCTTTTTCTTAAAGAAATCTCTGAATTTCGTTACAGGCTGTTGATTACGGAGTTCACAAGTTATGGGAAAGGAATAATGTTGGGGTATTGAATCTATTCCCCTCTATGGTTAATCTTGAGATTTTTTAAATTGTGCTTATTATTTAAAAACGATTAAATTCCCGATCTTTATCTTAACGTTAGTTAAGATCTCTTTTCTATTATTATATATGACTTTGAAAGCCCTTAAGCTTATGAAATTTGAATTTTATGTGTATATATTGGATTGTTGCGGTATTCTAATATGATGCCGTTGCTATCAATTGCGGCAACCTCAAAATTTGTCTAATTTCAACCTCAAAATTTTTAGGTTATGTTGTTTGTTATTGGATTTTGCTTGGTATTTCTGTTAAGAATCTGGGTTAACATTAGAGTCTCTCTAGACTGAGTATGGAAATGAGATTGGTCTTTTTCCTTTCTATTGCTATTAAGTGTGGATGCATTAGGTGGATTGATCTTAATCTGAATTTTTCATAGTTGTTTGTAGCTTATTCCAGAGTAGTCAATAGTGGCCAATAGCAGAGCGGAGAATCGGCCGCTATTGGAAGAGCCTTACGGCCGTGCAAAATACTATAGCGGCCACTATAGGGTAAATAACGGGGCGGAGCGGTTCCAGACCTGGAGCTGTTTATGTTCAGCTATCCTTTTCCCCTCTAAAAAACCGAAATTATCCCTTAAATTTAAAATGTTAAGAGTAATTTTGGGCTTTTCAATCAAATTTGAGTTTGACTCTCAACCCTAATCTTATTTTACCAATGTTTCTGCACTTCAGCTGTTCCAAAGAAAAATCACAAGTTTTTCCCTTACCTCTATCTGCACTCCGTTCTTCCCTCTGCACTTCATATGTTTATAATTATTATTCATGTAATTTGTCCAAAAAATGATCAAATAGTGGCTTTCCTGCAATCCCATATTTGGAGTCGGCCTCTCCGCGCCACTATCTGGGATTGACTACTCGGACTTATTCTATCAGTGCAAAGTTCTAGTTATAGATAGTCATCAGTTTGTGTGTTTTGGTTGTTTCTTATGGTTTTCCTTCACCAAGTGGTACCCATTTATTGGCTTATTTAGGTACTTCCAACTTTCACTCCTTGTTTTCTAAATTATGACACTACTTGATAATGTTAACATATTGCATTCCATTCCATTCAAGTCACCTATTGCGTAGATGAAGTAATTCTGGCACGCAGTGTTACAAGTGCAGTGATCTGTATCAATCTTTTTTTGGTTTTGTTGATAAATTTATCAATTTTCATTGTTTACCGTGCTGGGTTGCTCCCTTTGTCCGAAGTCATTAAAGCAAATGTCTTCTTCCTCTAGTATATCCACACTTTTCTTAGGCAACTGTTCCCCCTTACATTTCCTTTCCTTCTCCTCAAAAACTCAATAGGGAGCATGAAATGTTCTTCACTTGCAGCTGCTATCTATTTCCCCCACATTGCTCCATCCCACTTCCTTGATTGGCCTTTTTCGTAATAAGAAAAAATTGGGTAGTGTTACCCATTTGGCATAAACTCATATTAAAGTATATTCTACTGTTTAGTACATATTTTTAAATTATCAAATATAGTTTAGAAATGTTATTGTTGGTTAGGCGTAAAAGACCAGATTAAAACGGCCCTTTGTTGGCCTTCGTTGACAGGAGTGAGGAGTTTTTATTCACTCTCATCTCAGGTGTCTATTGCCACCTATGAAGCACATACACTAGAAACATGACACTTATGCGTCGGCACCGATAATATTTTGAATAAATGAGTATATTAAATGTATTCACAAGTGTTGGTGTCGGTTTCAGGTACCGACATTGACACAAACACACTTTTTTCAAAAGGTATTGTTGCTAGGATGATTGCCACTTAGTTTTATTTGTTTTCGTACTCATAAAACACAAGCCATTGATTATAGAAATAACGATTATTCAATATGATCTGGCAAGCCTATGGTTGGTATCCTATAATGAATCACAAATAACTTTGAATCATGTGATATATGCATGAATCCGTGTGATTTTCCATTCCTGGTAACAATTCCTCAATTTGTTTTCCCTCTGTTAAATCTCAACCAAGAAATTGAAAATTCAAATAAGTTTGGAAGTGCCCAATTGGGGCATTCCACTGTGCTATCTAGCAGGGTTGTTGGGATCTCCCTCTAACTACCAAAATCTTACGATCTTATGCTCCGACAACCGGCCATCGGCCACCGATTTAAGTGGCACAAAGATCTTGGATTTGGCTGGAGCGTTGAACTCCTAGAGAAAGATCTTTAAATTGTGGGATCTTGAGATCCCAACGATCTCTTTTTTGTTTTTACCCGCTTTAGACCCGGTTTGATGAGGTCATTAAACAATTGGATTTGGCCCATAAACTGACCCATAACTACCCCTGACTGTTGTGCACACTTATTTTAGGGGTTTTGGGACTTGTAATGTTTCAAATGAGCTTTTGAGAATTGTAAAATAAGGATTGTCCCCAAACAAAAGGCACTAGAGCTCTGAGAATTTTGTATCGATTAATCATACAATGAATGGATTTCTTCCCTTCATCTATCTTCTATAAATTCAAATAAAATCCTTCTATTATGTTTTTTTTGGATAAAATATTTGCTATTGATGATTAAATTAATGAGAATTTTATGTGAAAGTAATTTTTCCTAGTTATTTCTATAATTTTCTCTATTTGCTGGGATCTTACGATCTATGTTACGATTCTATGATTTACGCTTTTTCTATCATGCTATCTAGTTCTGTTCTTCGAAAGGGTTCACACAACCAAGCACCTATTTGATTATTGCATATTGTTGTTCTTCAGAAAGGGCTTCACACAATCACTCACTCAACTTATGCATCCTATTTGGCTGTTTCATTTACTATTTTTTATTTTTCTAATTCAGAGACATCGCATGACTTATGATGAGCTTTATTTGGCTGTTTCATTCGTCTGTTTTCAAACTGACTTATTATGTGTTTTAATTATATTCACTTCTGCAGAAAAGGTATGAAGACATTTCTGTGCTAGGGCAAAGGCCAGTTGACGAGTGAATTCTCCAACCATCTTGTTAGCCATTTTGATGTTTTCAATATATTCTTGGAAAAATGAAGTGAGCTGGAAGTATTTTCCATTTTGTAATAAATGCATATGTTTGTCTCTGCCGGGCTTAAGTCGTGCATGGTTTCATTTACTGTCGAAAATACAAAATATTGAACAAAATATTGAACTGCTGCAACTTTCTTTTTCTCTTTTCAAGTGACTTATCTCAGATATTGGATAATGAAAAAATCACTTGCTTATAAAGTTTAAGTAGCTCTTATTTTGCGATGGTTTACATGTGCAAAATCATTACTTCTCACTGATTTCGTTTAATAACTTCACTAACGAGTAACTACATTATAAACTCATGTTTCCAGCCGAAATTCAAAGCAGCTGTACAGAGAGTCCTTGCGACTAATTCTGTTAATAGTGTTGAAGAAAAGTGGAAATTGGTAAACCTAAAATAAAGATTCTACAACCTCGTCAAATATGGCCATTTGTGAGTTGAAAGCTCATGGGTACCTGGCCATATTTTCCCTTATCTTTGAAGCTGGCTTGGGAGGTATAGTTATATTGTCTGTTTGGAAATTCATTCAAACTTCAATTTTCATATTACTTTTTGTGTTAAAAGATAGGGTATTGACAATGTAAAACTATATTAATTTATTTAAGCAAAATTAAACATTTCAAAATTTATTTTACATTTTTACCATCTATTATCTATATATAAACTTTAAAATACTCGGTAATGACACCTTAACCCTTTTGATTAAAATCTTTAATTTCATTAACTGTAAGGATAATTTTGTTTTATTAAATAATGAATACTCTATATTGGTTTGGTATTAAATGATGTTGATTTGATACACTCACATTTTTTATTGTTAATTTATAAGTATTTTATATTACAAGAAGTTGGAAATGCATTTAGTAGTCGTGCCTATTAACTACTCTTTTTTTTATTTTCAATACAACTATCACTCTTCTCACCATGTTCAATGTATAAAGAGATGAAAAGATTAAAGATATTAGTAAGAAACCTGTGCTATCGTACGAATCTTGTTTGGATTCACATTACATGTCTATCAAAACATTATTTATAAAGTATCAATTTATTTTTAATTGATTTACATTCACATAGTTATAAATACAGGTTAATGATATACACTTGTTTTTTAAGCATTAATTCGTACTTATAATAAATCATACATTATTAAAAAGTAACAAAAGAAAGATTTAAAAAACAGACTTTAAAATTCACAATCTACAGCTGGTATTTCATAGATATATTAACATTTATCCGTAGATTGATGAGATACTCGCTTCTTCGCCAAGATTATCAAATACTTTTGCTTTACGTTGCAAGCACTAAGTCATTAGCACAAATACTTACATTATGAAAAGGCAAATGAGAACAAAATAAGCATACTTGCTTTTTCACCAAGATTATCAAATACTTTTGCTTTACGTTGCAAGCACTAAGTCATTAGCACAAATACTTACATTATGAAAAGGCAAATGAGAACAAAATAAACAGTAATAAATCTAATGTCATTTTGGGTGAGTTTTTGTCAGTGTTTCAAAGCTTCTGAATGAAATATATATAATTATAATAGATTATAATAGATTTATTACTAATAGAATATCTCCATTAATAGAAAATGATTTGTTACTATTTCTACTAATGCCTCATGAGACATCAATTCCTTCTAAAAATGGAATTGGCAACAATTGTATATATTTGTGATATCACATCAATGAAAAGTAGAGAATGATATTTCTTTATGGTATCAGACTACACGATCCAAATATATCCCTCCTAGCCACTCTAGCTTTTCTATCTCACCGTGACTAACACCTCTTCTTCTTCTCCATCCAACGGTGACGACACTTCGTCACCAACGAACCAATCCCCTCCTATGACGAAAACCAACTTTCATTCTGCTTTCGCCATTACCAAACATCAAAAATATAATACCAGTGACGTTGGATAATGACTCCGATCTCTATCTCTCTTTGTCCACTCTATTCATCGTGCAAGCGCGTGTTCATAATGTGCTTGATCACATCATACCACCTATTGACGAGCAAGCTCGTGCTGAGGCAGCCACCGTTAAAGCCAACGACCCCGACCTTTGGAATCGTCTAGATGTTGTTGTGCTGCAATGGATGTATGCAATTGTCACACAAGACATACTCCATTCTGTTCTCGTGGTTCACGACACCGCAGAACTATGCTGGAATCGTATCGCTGCTATGTTCAATGATAACAAGCACACACGGGCCGTTCAACTTGAAAATCAGTTTAGCAATACCAATCTGGCAGATTTTCCTTCCACCAAAGCCTATTGCAACCGTCTCAAGCTCCTCTCCGATCAACTCGCAAACGTTGATTCTCCAGTCACAAATACTCGTTTGGTATTAAAAATGATCTCTGGTCTCACCGAGGCTTATGTCGGGTTCGTAACATACATCCAACAACACGATCCTCTTCCAACCTTTGCAACCGCAAAATCAAGACTTGAACTTGAAGAATCTACGATGCTTCAGCGAGCCGCTCGTGACTCTGGTTCTTCCTCCACTCCGGCGACACTCATGGCCAAAACTACACTGTCAAATGATGATGTTCCTCGCGATTCCTCTCCTGGTTACACTTATCAAAACCGTAACCCACCATCCAACACCTCTCACGGGACCCGAGGCCAAAAGAACAACTGAAACAACGGTGGTCGAAACTACGGGAGGAGCGATCAGACTGGTCCCAATCATAACAACAGCAGGGGTCATGGTCAGGGTCAACAACAGTGGCAACAATGGATTCCATGGCAACAATGGGCTCCATAAAATATACCACCTTGCCCTTATCCATCTTACAATTGGAGTAAGCCTACTAATGCTGCACATACTCAACAAGGAGGAGTCTTTGGGCCAAGACCACAACAGGCTGCTTACAATGTTAATGCACCCAACCCAACTGATATTGAAACTAGGGGTGTTCGCGGTTCGGTTTTAAAGCAAAAACTCATCTGATCCAAAGATTAACTCACTTAAGGTTCGGTTCGGTTTTGGATGATATATTAAAAAAAAATCCAATCTGATCCGATCCAATTTTATGCGGTTTAATTTGGATCGGTTTTTGGATATCCAAATTACACATTATATTTTTATTAATATTATAAAACTACTAATAAGTCATAGATTTGATATAATATATAACATATAGTATATTAAAAGTTAATATTACAAAATGAGAGTGATTGATTATGCTTGAAATAATAAAAATAAATAGATTATACCAAACTAATAAATATTATTAAAAAAATTAATATCATCTAATAATAAATTCACATAACATGTCATACTAATAAAAAGTAAATAAGTATCAAAATATATTTATGCGGTTCGGTTTGGTTTGGATCGGTTTTGAAAAATTCATCCGAAATCCAATCCGAACCGATCGGTTTTCATAAAATAACATTCAAACACAACCAATAACTTTCAGTTTTTTATGGTTTTCGGTTTTTTGGATCGGTTTTCGGTTTTTTATTTGGATTGGTTTGGATTTGAACACCCCTAATTGAAACTGCTTCACACACCCTCAATCTTGCTCAGCCTCATCAATCTTGGTATATGGACACCAGAGCCACTTCTCATATGACATCATCGTAAGGTAATCTTTCGTCTTATTTTAAATTGAGCGAAAATAATAATATAATTGTCAAAAGTGGCCACTCTATTCCAATTTATGGCCTTCGTAGTGCACACATCAAACCTCCACACACCCCTTTTGTCCTAAACAACATACTACATGCTCCACAGTTAATTAAAAACTTAGTGTCAGTTCGTAAATTTACCACAGATAATAAAGTTTCAATTGAATTTGACTCGTTTGGTTTTTCCGTGAAGGATTTTCAGACGGAGATGGCTCTAATGAGATGTGAGAGTCGAGATGATATATACCCCATCACAACCAACATCAACTCCAAAAATAAATCCAAACCTAATCCGTCTCTTGTAACCTTATCATCTTCTTTGTGGCATGATTGCTTGGGTCATCCGGGAGAATATATTTTAAATTCTCTTAGGCAAAATAAATTTATTGCATGTAATAAATCTAGACAAATACATTCTCGTTTATGTCGTTCTTGTACTCTTGGTAAACATATCAAGCTGCCTTTCATGAATTCAAATAATACTAGTTTATGTTTATTTGATATTTTACATAGCGATGTATGGACGTCTCCCGTTGTAAGCTCTTTAGGTCACATATATTATGTTCTTTTCTTAGATAATTACTCAAATTTTTTGTGGACTTTTCCAATGTCAAATAAATCTCAAGTATATTCCAAGTTTCAAAAACTAAAGGCTTACATCAACACCTAATTTCAATGAGAAATTAAAATAATTCAATGTGACAATGGTAGTGAATACGTCAATACTAATTTTCGAAACATGTGTGATATTAATGGAATGTCATTTCGTTTGTCTTGCCCTTATACATCATCTCAAAATGGAAAATTCGAACGAAAAATACGCTCCATTAATAATATTATTCGAACTTTATTAATTCACGCGTCTTTACCACCTATTTTTTTGGCATCATACTCTTGAAATGGAAATATATCTCTTAAACATTTTGCCAAATAAAACCAAAACTTTTGAGTCACCACTTAAAATGTTATATCACAAAGAACCCTCTTACTCACATTTACGGGTGTTTGGTTGTTTATGTTTCCTCTATTTCCTTCCACTACGATACATAAGTTCCAACCTCGATCCACTCCGTGTGTCTTTCTTGGGTATCCGAAAAATCACCGAGGATATAAATGTTTAGATTTAACATCCAATAAAATTATTATTTATCTCCATGTCCTATTTGACGAAACTCATTTTCCATATGCAAAGTTGCACACCCCCAACCTACTACATATAACTTCCTTGAAAATGAGTTGTCACCCTACTACATAAAACATATCATTACCCAAACACAAAATAACCCACACAACAACCCATTAGTTCATCCCTCAAACCGGCCCACCTCATCCCATACGAACCCACCCACAACCATAACCTCACCCACTCGGTCTCACACCCTTATTCCTCCTTCAAAACAGCCCAACACATTATCCAATACAAACTCTCTCTCCCCACGCCTCACAATAATAAATACTGAATCCATAAGTCCAAAGGCCATTCCTTCAATTTTCCAACCCACCTTACAAACAGAAACAAAACCTGTCACTAGAAGTCAACATGGAATTTTTAAGCCAAACCAAAAATATTATGGCCTCCAAACCCATGTTACAAAATCTCCTATACCTAAAAACCCAATGTCTGCACTTAAAGACTTAAATTGGAAAATGGCCATGGATGATGAATATAATGCTCTAATTAAAAATAAGACGTGGGATTTAGTTCCATGATCCACTGGTATTAATGTTATTCGATCTATGTGG